AGAGATGAAATGAATTTTCGTCTTCCACTGCATTTGAGGAGCAATATTTACAAATTCTCTCCGACACAGGTAGTTTCACATATCGCCCTTTTTCGATTTCCAAGGAGTGGGCACTGATTCTAATTTTACTAATAGCGGAGCGCTGCTCGAAGTCACAGTGTTCTAGGTATTGTTTTCAAACAGTGTTCAGTTTTACATTTTCTAAATCTCAGTTTACCGGTATTAACAGACGAACTAAGGAAGAAAGTTTGAATGTAGTAGTCATGTCTGAAAGCCTTGTCCTTAATACTTTATACATAAGTTGAGGATCACAGGTTGTACTATCAATATGCAGTAGGTAGGAATATCCACAGTGGTCGAGGATCTCCTTCACTCGCTGTACCAATGTCCGTCTACGACTATATGTCAGGGAATTACGTTGTAACAGGAGTGCATCAACTTGCAGAGGGTGTGTATCGGTATTAAGTTGTGTCAAGTGTGTCCAGTATACGAAGGGATATATCTAAATCTAACGGGAGTCTTCCTAGTTCTGCTCTAGCTGCTACATTACTACAATTTCTATGCACCCCAAGTACATTCTTACAGAAACGGTTATGGGAACTTTCGATTGGTGAGGTCTCATTGTCAGGTTCTTTTCCCCAGATTTCGCACCCATACAGAAGTATTGGTTTGATACAAGCGTCAAATATTCTAAGCAGGCACTTCGGAGAGACAAATGAACGTCGTAAAGATATGAGACTAAACATGGCTTTCCTTGCTTTGAGTGAGAGCTGTTTTTTTGCACGAGAGAAGCTGCCGGATGAGGTAATATTTAGGCCAAAGTAGCAGTAGGAGTGAACTTTATAATGTCTACTTTGTCCTGTCCAAACATAAAAAAGGAGAAGAAGGAGGAGAAGAAACACGAAGAAAAACAATATGGCTTCACCACATAGTGTTATAGTAGGGTCGCTGCTGTAGATGTCTAATGCAGTATCATTAGAGATAGACACATGCAAGACTATATAAGAAAACCTTCAGTTTTACCATCGTACACCTAAACTCCAGGCAAGCGTTTACCCAAAAGATACTAATATTCGGTGCGATACCGCTCCCTTACCGAAGGGGTCGCGGCTGTTGATGTCTTGTAGCACCGGTTTAGGAATGGACATATGCACGACTATACAAAACAAAACTCAGTTTTGTAATCGTATGCCTAAACTCCAGGCAAGCGTACTACCCAACAGAGCAAAGAGACAAGTATTCGGTGCGATACCTCGCCCTTCCCAAAGGGGTCGCTGCTGTAGATGTCTTGGTGCGCCGGTTTAGGAATGGACACATGCACGACTACTAATATATATATAACGTTATATGAGTCAGTTCTGCCATCGTACACCTAAACTCCAGGCAAGCGTACTACCCCACAGAGCAAAGATATTAGTATTTGGTGCAATACCACGCCCTTACCAAAGGGGTCGCTGCTGTAGATGTCTTGTAGCGCCGGTTTAGAGATGAACTCCAAGGCGTCGTCCGTGGCCAGCGCGTTCGTGATGGTGGACGTGTGGAAGACGATCTCCGAGGCCTGCTTCTCCAGAGCCAGCTGCTGCAGGAGGTACTCTTCCCGCTGTGTGCCCAGATAAGACTTCTCATACACCTGTGGGAATGTTGAACATATATCACGTACATGTCACATAGGTCATAGCAAAATACATGTAGAGTGGTATAGATATACAAATATTAAAAACCGTAGTGTCAATCATATGTTATTCGTAACTAATACATGAGCCAACTGCCTTTATAGTAAATTGTTATTTTTATATGAGTGTTTGCTTATCTTGATACAAAAACAAGCTGTCCTGATTTTGCTAAATTGTCGAAATTGCTATCTTTGACATGCAATTTATGCACCTTTAGTGTAGAAAATGGTATCCAGTGGTGCATTCTTGTTCAGGTACAAGTACACCAAATTTTCAAGGTATTGAATACAAGTTAAGGATATATCGTCTTTTACGACTCAAAGTCAGATATTTAGAACATTTTGTAAATAACGTCAACCACAGAAACAAGAATCCATGACAGATTTTTTTCTCAAAGTGTTCTAGTGTTTTTTTTACCTGTCCCGGTTGAATATTCTCCTCCATCCTCCCAGTACTGAGGTACTGAACGAACTCCCAGAGTTCCAGGTTGGCCTTGAGGGAGACCAGGCTGCCGAGGTGTGGACAGCCGCGGGTCTCGGACGACTCAAACGTGTAGTGGTCAATCTGAGGAGGTGAGGGGTGGGAATGTTTCCGTAAATAGAACAATATTAAGAAAATAAATGTACAACTAGTTTGCCTGCTAGCTGCTGCTACCTCAAGTTAGTTTGAATAGCAGCTGCTACTCACTCACTCACTCACTCACTCTCACTCACTCACTCACTCACTCACTCTCACTCACTCACTCACACTCACTCACTCATTCACTCACTCTCACTCACTCATTTCCTCACTCACTTACTCTCACTCACTCACTCACTCACTCATTCACTCACTCACTCTCACTCACTCACTCACTCATTTCCTCACTCACTCACTCACACACTCACTCACTCACTCACTCACTCTCACTCACTCACTCACACTCACTCACTCACACTCACTCACTCACTCACTCACTCACTCACTCACTCACTCACTCACTCCCATAGCTTAGTCAGCCGATGTTTGGTAATGTTTGGTAAAGGTTTTTCACCGCTGACGATCTTCTGCCAGTCTGGCTGTTATGACTGTTGGCTGCAGCGATAAGCTATGATGATGATGATGATTATTTCGAAATTACGATTTTGTTTATACCACAAAAAGAGCTAATTTTATAGCAAGCAACATACGGAGTACTAATGTACTAATCATTTCCTAGTTCCACGTTTGACTACAGAAAGCCTTCACACCATGTGTGTGCGCGTGGTGTACGTGTATGAAATGTAACACTGAAATGAATCCTGTGTTGTTGTGTTGCTGAGACCAAAGACAATTCCTACCGGAGCAGTTTTGACGAATCTCGCCAGGAGGCGTTTGTAGAAGTCATGCTGTAAGTCGCAGCCCAGAAACAGGACCGGCCTCTCCTGGAACACTTTGGCAAGAAACTCCGCAGCTGCAACCTCACGGCCAGGTTCACCAATCAGGATGTCTTCAAGGAACTGTCGAGATTCTTCCTGTTGTAGTATTTTTAGAAAATATTCATAAATAAACAGCATCGTTTCATCAAACATCTAATAATTGTATCGAATGGCCAAGTGGCTACGTTAGCTTACACGAGAAGAAAACGTCAAGGGTTCGATCCGTGACATTCCTGGTTGAGTCCTTTAGGGAGGCACGTCAAGTACAAGACTTTTACTCACTCCACACAGGTGTAAAATGGGTACCTGACTTCGGTTGGGGAGGTTAAAAGATGGTAGAAGGAGAGGGTGGGCTCCACCTTCCAATACCATGCCCTGGACACAGTGGATTCACAACCCACTCACCCTACATCTTCAAAAGGCCATGGGACTGCCCTTTCCTAAGAAATTGCTCATTTTGAGTTTCTATATGTTTTCTGACTCGATAAATAGATTGTAACCTCTTTTCAATCGACTAGCACTTTTAAAGGTACCGATACGGGTGGGAGGATATTCTTTCTTGTAGGTAGGAAGGAAGGAAGGAAGGAAGTGAAGGAAGGAAGGAAGGAAGGAAGGAAGGAAGGAAGGAAGGTATTAAAATACTACAAAAAGCACGATAGAAAGACGTACGCTGCAGCGGGCCGTGTAGCTGGTGTCCCCGAACAGTTTGACGATCAGGTGCCGGTGGAGCTCGGGCCAGTCTTTCATCACCTGCCCGACCTGGAACAAGGAAGATTTTCACATCTAAGACACCTTAAACATCTTGTGTTTTTAGAAAATATTTTCGAAGAAAATCGATATCCAATTTTCCCCTTTTACATTGTCATTTGTTGTATATACATGTAGACTAGTTAAGGATAGGTTAGGTAACTAACAGTTGTACTAAGGTTGTACGTATTCTGAGTGTTATGATAAGTGTTAATTATGTGTTAATAGCTTTGTAATAATATGTATTTGTAACTTTTATGACTCCAGGATGAATATTGCAGTATATGTATATAATCACTAATGGAGATCTATCAAATAAACAAACAAATCCAATTCTGATTCTACTTATTTCTGAGACGAGGCAAGATATTGATCATTTCCATTATCTTCATTCATTCATTCATTCATTCATTCATTCATTCAATCCGACATATTACCTGGTCGAGTCGAATTTTCTCTCCCAAGGCAGAGCCCAGACTTCCTCGTCCCCAGAGCAGCCTCTCCAGAAGTTCGTCCTGATTGGTCGTGAGGATGAGCGGGAACGTTCCCAGGGTGCGGAGGACGTTATGCACTTTGGCCGGCCGCTGGGGAAGGTTTTTCATGAAGTCGGACTCAAGTTGGGTCAGACCACTGATGCCGTTCTGAACGGGAGGATAATCCTAAATGAACAAACAGCGATAAAAAGACACTCCATCATTATTTATAACAACAAACAAAAGCTAAAAAATTAAAAACGTCGGTGGAGGTTAGACATCCAGGCAATAAGATACGAAAAAAAACAGTTACTCAAGCAACAGGGTATATGGTCAGGAAAAGCGTTTCGGAGAAAGCTAAAAAAAAAAAGACGAATTGTTTTGAACAACGTGACGAGTTTCTTGCTTTCTTCATATATCTTTCTTCTTTCTTCATCCAAGACCAAGTCCAGCTGGGATGTCATCTTTCTATTAATGGCCTATTTATACTCTTTCCATCCGCCTCCAGAAGCCTGATAGAGGCTAATCTCCAAGCAGATAGTTCGGTGGTGGAAAGACGGTATCAAATTTGTCATCCTGTATATATCCATTTGCAGGGGAAATGGATACAGGCTGGCAAATTTGATACCGTCTTTCTCCCACCAAAAGATCTGCTTGGAGATTTTTAATAAGTATATATAGGTTGATAATCACCTGTATTTGCCACCAGTGGTCCACCCTAGCGGGCGGAGGGAGTACTGTACTATATATAACTAGCGGTCCTCCTAGCGTGCATATCTCCCTATTAGGCCAACTTCTGCTATTTCTGATAGAGGCTACTAATCACCTGTATTCGCCACCAGTGGTCCAGCCTAGCGGGCGGCGGGAGTACTGACAGTTGTTCGCCGACGAACAGCACGAGCCTCCCGCTGCCGATGTGCTGCCGGAGCCTTGTGAGGGCGTCGTACATGTCCCGTCTGGGGTCCGCCATCTTCGTCTTCAGTACTGCGGGACGCTGTCAGAGACGCCAGGTTTCCAATAAGGCCATGTTGATTTGATTATATGGATGACATCCTCTGGGAACCCCAAAACTGATGAGCGCGTGCGAATAAAAAAAAAGTTTTGCAAAAAAAAAAGTTGTTTTCATTATGAAATCTACGTGGTCATGAGGGTTGAACAAATGGGACGGAATATGGTTTGGCGAGTAATCTAGTCTTCAAGTTCATTTCTTTACAATTTCGTCTTTTTTTTCGTTTGATTTTGGCATTCTACGACATTGTATGTTTTTTTTTGTAACTTACGGTATATTTTTGCTCATTTTGCAACTGTTTTGTACGATTTACAGTATGGTTGAAAACTTTTTTTTAAAACGGCCGAAAATTCATGCGCGCGCGGATGTCATCCATATAATCAAATCAACATGGCCTAATGGAGACAGTTTATTGCAAGTCCTTGCCTGTAGGCTAATTGCAAGTACATGAAAACTAGAAGGGCAACATTTGCAAAGCAAATGCATAATGTTTACCTTCGCATATGGTCTGCTCTGCTATTAATTCTTACTCAAACACATTCATACACATGTCTATGGTCAGACAGGAGTCTAAATCCCTCATGTCATAAAATTGCAACATGATGTACCGGTAACCCAACACTAGTTACCAAGGTACCATGGTAACAAACAGTCTGGCTCAGGTCATTGACCTTTTTGGTTTGGAGAAGAAGAGGAAACGTATCAAAAACAATATGTTTACCGTATAGTTTACATAATAAATCAAAATCGTAATCAATAAATCATATCTCTGAGGAGACGGTGACCGTCGAGCGCCTCACACTTCTTAACGTTAGGAAGTCTAGGAAGGGCATACATTTATAAATGCGTGAAAACAAGAGAACACATTCTTTGTGAAATTTCAATGGGGTCAGGTGCCTAGTAGAGTATTTACTTATAGGCTCTTTTTCTTCTTTCCATTTTAATTGCAACCTCCATATACTCTAAAACCCCGACAGCATCCCGCCCTTCCATTTTATAAACCTTTCTTTAATATCTCACTCTAGGCTTTTCTTTTAAACGGGTAGCCTAAATATGTATCATAAGGTTACTGTATATATCATTACACGGCACGGAAGTTAACGTACCGTCCCTTCCCTTTCCTTTCCGAACACCGCATAACAACAGGTGTGGTTTACACTAGATCTGCAAACAGGTGGGCTAAAGTAAGGCCACACCAAGTAAATTTTATGGATGACGTCCGCGCGCATTGATTTTTGCCATTCTTGTTTTTTTTCGCCCTCTCGCATTAGATTTAGGGTCTCCAAAGGACGTCATCCATAACATTTACTTGGTGTGGCCTAACCATGACCCAGCTATTGTTTCACACAGAATGGCGCTTCCGAGAAATGGCTAACTCAGAACCGCTCACAAATCAATCAATACAAAGTACACCATGAATATACAGACTAAACCTAGTACATGTAGTAAAAGAAGTTGATAACAGTATAATGTTAGCTATAGAATCAGGCATTTGGATTGTCCATATTACTTGTTTGGAGTCCATGATCAAAGCATTTCAATAGTACGTACGACTTATATACCAAGATCAACCACTTGCGACTGTACGTTGGAGCGGACGTAAACTAACCAGGATGGTACAATGCTAATAGTAACAAACAACCCCTCCCACCCATCGACCGAACCCTAGCGTAGAACACCTACCTGTCTGTAGGTCCAGTCTAACTTCGCAGTTGCCAGGAAGATTTCCCAGCCTCCCTTACAGCCTTATAGGTGTAAATATTGCGACGAAACGTCTGCTGTTGCGATCTGTACGGCGCAGCAGTCTTCACACTGTGAGGAACCCGCAAGTTTCGATCATTCGTGAATGCGGAAGTGATGACGACGGGTAATCCCCCATGGAAAACACCTATGACAGGATCATATTCTTTTATTAGCAATGGATAGTGACACCAGAAAGGTATATTTACATGTCAGATGCTGTTCTACACCTCGTGTGTATCCTTCTTTAAAATATAAAAGGCTTTTAAGACGATGTTTTGGAGCGCCTGGTCAGAAATCTGCCGTTCATTACAGTAACGTGACAACGACGCCACCTTGCGACTTGATGTTGTACGACACGGTACGAGGCTGCGTATTTAGCATACGCCAATATCGACGGTCTGGAAAAGTCAATGAGCGTTTATAATAAACAAAAACTCCAAAGCTGAACAGTCTGTCGTTCGGATCTGCTAAACCGTTTATTCTCCGTCCAACGAATTCGTCAGCTTCACTCGGACCACAGATTAGGGTAAAGTACTGAAAAACATCGGAACAACAAAAACGCTCATTAATTATTCGGGGTGTGACCTGCACATCGTGAGTGAAAAATTAAAGAGCTCTTTTGAAACGGGTCGTTCATGATCAGTGGAGGGAACACTGAAGTTCGTCACAGCTACAACAAGAATTCCGAGACTTCATACCTCCATGAAATATGGGCTTAATATGTAAATGTAAATTTCTTCTTTAATTATGCAAATTACCTCAGCATTAACATGATATATGCATCATGATGTATGTTAACTTTTGATTAAGTTACAGATGTCCCAAGTATGACATTCCCATCATTCACCATTAAGAAATCATAGAATTTTTGCATAAATTATGCAAATTAGATCATCATTTGCATAATTAGTATCTGTTGATGTTCTGCCTGCCATAGGTTACATACATTACATGTATGAAAGTAGTATAATGTAAAACACTGTAATTATAGAATTTCTTCATTTATTATGCAAATAAAGTCCTCATTAGCATAATTTGCATTTAATCATGTACATCTCTCTCTCAGCTACCTACACACCAAAAATTATGAAAATATGTTGTTCCTATCTGGACTTATTGGCTTTTAAACATTTCGCCAGAAAGTGCCCTGCAGTTCCAGAACAAGCTGCTAGGGGGACCAAACTCACACCACTTATTTCTGACAGGAAAAGCAATCTGTCACCAAAACATCAAGACCATAGCATGTTCAGGACAAAAGATACAAAAACCGGAACTTCTGCTGCAGTACCAAAGTCATCCACCAGTAGGCCCATATTTGACCTTGACGTTTGTCTTCCTAAGACTTACCAACATACCAAATATCATCATAATGCATAAAGGCGTACTAAAGTTATGCTGACCACAAAGTTGCGGAAACACAGACAGACAGACACACACACACACACACACACACAGACAGACAGACATACATACATACAGACAGACACACCAAAAACAATACCTCCATTTTTTTATGGAGGTAACAAGTCTGCAAGTAAGGCCACAGCAAGTAATTTTTATGGATGACATCAGCGCGCGCATCAATTTTCTCCTGATTTTGGAGAAAAAGACAACAAGAAATTTGTTTGCCTTCTGACATTGGTCAGCATGCCAAAAATGGGCAAAGATGTCTGTTGCCATGCCGGAAGGTGGATGGCAGATAACTATGAAGCGAGGAGACAAGACAAGGCTCTGATTTAATGTTTTGTATCTTACTGTGCTGCAGTGATATGTGATGCTGGCTGTGTATATGTGATGTTCCTACTGAATCAAAACCATTTGTACAATGATTGAGGCCAAATTTTAAAATGTAGGAACCTTGTTGTTTTCGGCCCGCCTTGTTTTTTTTGTTTTTTTTTGCCCGCTCGCATTAGATTTGGAATTTACGTGCTGTGGCCTAACGGTCAGAACCAGACGTGTTTTGAGTCAAGCAAGAAGGTCTGTCTTAAATCTCCTTTAGTAAAGATCTATAAAAGAAAGCGAAGATTAGTCTTTTTTCAGTAAGTTTATCTTCTCATTTTCTGTCAGTGTAACGTTAACGTTAATGGTCAAAACGTTTCAATAATCTACGACGAAACAACACCATTGTTTGTTTGTTTGCTTTTTGTAGATTAACAGTGCAGTTAGACTGTGAACGTGGGATATTCTATATGGACGCTCTTTTCAATAATCACGACGTAGTACAATTCACTGTATGCCATATACAGTAAATTCATATGTTGGGTTCATGATCACATCAATTATATATTTCCACTCTCGCCAAGGTGATCGATTAAGGATTGGGTGAAAAGACCTCGGCGAGCTAGTGTCGAGTGTCTACTCCCTGTCATACATGCGACTCTCACAGTGAGTGTAGGGTGGGCGGGGGGGGGGGTATTTTGCGTCCCCGCTCATTTCCGTCCAGCCTTCTTCTTTCTTGCGTCCTCTTCCCTAAAGACAGTCTGGGTACTGAACATTAGGGTCGACTTGGGGGTGCTTCGCTACCCCGGCCTTTAATACCGACCTTGACTAAACATACGCCACCTACACCCGAGGACCTATCTCTAGCTGTTCCTGTTTTTCCTCTTCCTCGTCCATCCCTCTATTACTTAGTACCTCGACCTGGCGGCTCATACTCGTACCTCCCGACGTTGACCCGCCAGTGCGTGCGGCATCGATGGCCAGCTGCCAGGCGTGGGCCTCCCATGACGCCACCGGTCAAGAAATTGAATTTCCCCGCCTACCCTTAATGAAAGCCATCAGTGTGTCTACATCATCTACCCTGACGTCCTGTACTCGTCGCGCCGAGTTCACGTCGCTCTAGTTACCAGGCTACTCACGAGACGGGTTGTACGCTAACCCCGCTACCTTCTCTCTGTCGCCCCGCTTCACAAAACTGATGAAGTATGAGGGGTTGGTCACATGGCCTGACATCTCGCTCAACAAGAGTCTCGCGAGATGTCAATCCATTGTGACGTAAGTGGGAATAATTATATATTTCCACTCTCGCCAAGGTGATCGATTAAGGATTGGGTGGAAAAGACCTCGGCTACGCTACAGTGATCGGGTACCTTATCCCCTGTCATAGGCTCACTCTCAAACCTCTTCCTCATTATCCCCCAATCCTTATCCTTCCCATTCTTTACTCTCTCCTCTCCCATTCCTTACTCTAAGTGTAACGTAAGGCAAAGACACTCAGTAGGCCAAGATACGTAGACACACCATGAGAGGGTAGTCTTCTTTTCTTTTTATTCAATCTCGATTTAATGTCTGTGGAACTCGCCGGCCTGGGGCACAATTACTGAGTCCCAGAAGTGTAGTCACTGAGCCCTCGCTCGCAACAAGCTTGCCAGCAGTTCTTGTACTACTGGCCGTGGTCCGTGAAGGAGCGGGGCCCGTTCCAGACCCATTTACCCACTGGTAGCCGACACCCTCTCTTCCCAGAGCCTCAGTGGCTCAAGGGCTACTTGCGCCTGCTTTCCAAACTGGGATGATGACGGTATACGTGATGCTGGTATCCTGCATACACACCTGTTTCTAAAGCACTTCAATCTTATCTCATCCTCAAGTGTACCCCAAACTCTCGGGTACGGGTACGGGTACATCTCCTTCGGTTTCTCTTCGGTAACCCTTCCGTTTACTCAAATATGTCGGCTACCTTAAGTAAATTTAGGTCTGGAGGGGACCTCGCTCGCTTCCCGGGCCACGAGCCGAAGCTATATGGTGGCGGCAAACCCTGGGGAAAGCACGCACGGTCCACGAGTTAGGGCTTAGCCAGCCATAAAATTCCAAAACTAGGTAGCTATCTCAAATACATACAACCGAAAAATTGTACTACTCAAAGCGCCTTCCTATGCGTTTACGATGCATGTACGCATCTCCATACGACGTACAAAACAAAGAAAAATGACCCATTGCAAGGCCAAATCAAAAGGTCAATGGCTAAAGGAAGACGACCGAAAACTGTCCCACCGTCTCCCCTTCTGCTATTGATATCCTTTATGGAAGACGACCGAAAACTGTCCTATTGCCACCCTCTGCTCTCGGTTGTCGCTATGAAAGACGACCGAAAGCTGTCTTACCGTCTCTCCTCCAGCTGTCGATTGTCGCTAGGAAAGACCACCGAAAACTGCTCTACTGCCTCTCCTCCTGCTGTCGATAGTCGCCAAGTGACCAAAAGACGACCAGAAGACTACCGAAATCTGCCCTCCATCTCCAACCCCCCTTGAGGCTGTCGTAAACCTCCACGCATAGGGAGAGCGAAACTATTCAGTTTCCCATCTAAAACTCGAGATTGTCCAACAACCTCTATCCCCCGGGAAAGCGAAAATAAGCCCTTAAACTGTCCAACAGTTTTACGCAATAAACTTTGAGACTGTCCGACGGCCTCTACCACTGCTGAAACCGGACACTGACCTTCAGTTTCTCGCTTCGAGATTGTCCAACCTCTAAGCACCGGCAAAACGATATGCCATAAAACCGTCTAACAGTTTTACACACCAAATTCTGAGACTGTCCGACAGTCCCTACCACCTCTGATACACGAAACTGTCCTACAGTTTCTCTCTTCGAGACTGTCCGACAATCTCAGAGAAGCTCCGCCAACACCAAAAGGAAACAGAAAAAATTGTTCCAAATTCTTTCCCCGAAGTAGGCCTCAGCAAGGAGGTTTAACCTCCTTGGCCTCAGGTTGTCCCACTACCAGCCCGATGCCAATCCGTTGATTATCCGACAATCTAGCAAACGCAGGGCCAAACGGAAAAATTGACCAAAATTTCACAAAATTTTCCGAGGAAACGAGCCATCAACGCTTAAAACAAACGCAAAGGGGAAACATTCGAGACTGTAAAGAAGTGTGAAACGCCCCGAGGTACACACACGTGATTCCGGGGCGGGCACACGCAAAAATAAGGTCGTAAAATGACGGAGGCAAAACTCCTACCCCACGCCTACCCACACCGCCTCTGCGTTCCGTGCCGGGACTCCCTGCGGGATGGCCAGTGCCGACAACGCGGAACTGGATCCCGAGAGAACTGTCACTATCTTCGGGATGCCTGCTCGCTCTATCCGGTGGCAGGGGTTGCAACAGCGCTACCGCCGGGTCACACTCCCGTTCCGCCCGGGGCGGGAAATCGGCTGTACCCGGCCGCTGGCAGGCTTGCGTCCGCGGGCTGGTTTCCACTCGTGGTCTGCGTTGTACTCGCGTTCGGGGTCGCCACAGTGTTCCTCCGGGAGTCTGCAACTGTGAAATAGAAAACACGTCACCCAGAGGAAGAGGGATAGCACACGTACTTATCTGCCGAGGCATGCACGTGCGCTGCCACGTCGACAAATCTTTAGCTAGCCTGCGCTCCGAAATACCACCCAACAAACATGTTTCCTCGAGACACTACCACAACAGTACCTTCTAAACCAGGTAACCAACGCGGGGATTCTGCATGGAACCAGAATAATGCTGCCACCGCCGGAATCACTGAAAAATGGCCGGATCAACCGGAGATAAACCACACGCTACCTTCGCTGGGGCTGGCTTTACAAAACTGATGAAGTATGAGGGGGTGGTCACATATGGCCTGACATCTCGCTCAACAAGAGTCTCGCGAGATGTCAGTCCATTGTGACGTAAGTGGGAATAAGCAAGGTCTCGGTACATACAGGTGAACATGCCTGTCCTTGGTGCTGAAGACCATCTACATACAGCTGAACATGCCTGTCCTTGGTGCTGAGCACAATCTACATACAGGTGAACATGCCTGTCCTTGGTGCTGAAGACCATCTATATACAGGTGAACATGCCTGTCCTTGGTGCTGAGCACAATCAACATACAGGTGAACATGCCTGTCCTTGGCTTGGTGCTGAAGACCATCTACATACAGTTGAACATGCCTGTCCTTGGTGCTGAACATCGTCTACATACAGGTGAACATGCCTGTTCTTTGTGCTAAACACCATCTTCATACAGGTGAACATGCTTGTCCTTCCATGTCCTAACCCTAACCCTAACCCAAACCATGTCTGTTCTTGGTACTGAACACCATCTACATTCAGGTAAACACATATGTCCTTGGTACTGAACACCATCCACATACAGGTGAACATGTTTGTCCTTGGTACTGAACATCATCAACATACAGGTAAACACACGTCCTTGGTACTGAACACCATCAACATACAGGTGAACATGCCTGTCCTTGGTGTTGAACACCATCCACATACAGTTGAACATGCCTGTCCCTCCATGTCCTAACCCTAACCCAAACCATAACCCAAGATTCAGCAGGATAAATGGGAATGAACCTGAAATTAATTGTTTTGCTAAGGAGGCTCTATCAGTTATGAGAGACACAAAGATGACGAACACATTTTTGTGGTACCAAAACTGCAGGTCTATTCAAAAGCTTTAAAAGCAAATTGCACATACACAATTGTACGTAACTAAGAAACTACTTCTCCATGTTAGTTAATGATGGTAGCTCTAATTTTTTTTACGTAGAGATATCTGTAGGTACCTCATAATACCTAACACAGTATGCAGCACCTCTGTATGTTAGATCCTAGATTATAATTTCCTAACAAATACAACACCTGCACATTGTTGGTTACATTAAACCATGTTGATTTGATTATATAAATGACATCCGCGCGCGCATGAATTTTCGGCCGTTTAAAAAAGTTTTCAACTATAGTGTAAATCATACAAATTAAAACAGTTGTAAAATGAGCAAATATATACCGTAACTTGAAAAAAACGTTGGAAAACGATACCAACGTCATAGAATGCCTAAATCAAACGAAAAATACGAAAATGTACACTATTTGAAGTGTACACTATTCGCCAAACCACACTCTGTGTCATTTGTTCAACCTTCAAAACCACGTAGATTTCTCAATGAAAGTAACGTTTTTGGCCAGATTTTTTTATTCGCACGCTCGCATCAATTTTGGGGTACCCAGATGATATCATCCATATAATCAAATCAACCTGGCCTAAGTTGTAGTAAGCAGACTGAGTCTCACTCTCCAGGAAATGTTTACATCTCACTAAAGCGCAGTTATTTCAACATTATGGCGTCTTGTCAACTAGCAAACAACGCTCCTTATAACCTACGTAAGATACATCTAATGAAAATGTCACAGAAAGTTAAATATACTAGCATATATATTAACAAGAAGTCATTCGTAGCCTTAGATAAGAGCAGTATTCCGCTTAATGTTTACAAAGTTAATGTAAGCACGTACTATATAGGCCTGCCAGCAATTAACATAACATCATAATAATTTATCTTTTAAAATATCTTTTTATTCCACAATGTTTGACAACCAGCCTCACTACACTTACATGTATATTTCCAACCTGTTGCATTTTGATTTCCTTCACTACTTCTGACGGTTGTCTATTGCAAGCATAACGGCTATCATGTCGAACTCAAATACTTGATAAGCCTTTCAAATTGTTATCCACAGAGCTCTGATGTTTAATCTCTAACAGGTTGGACATGTCGGCCACAGAGCTGTGATGTTTGATCTCTAACAGGTTGGACATGTCGGCCACAGAGCTGTGATGTTTGATCTCTAACAGGTTGGACATGTCGGACACAGAGCTGTGATGTTTGATCTCTATCAGGTTAGACATGTGGCCACAGAGCTGTGATGTTTGATCTCTAACAGGTTAGACATGTTGGCCACAGAGCTGTGATGTTTGATCTCTAACAGGTTAGACATGTTGGCCACAGAGCTGTGATGTTTGATCTCTAACAGGTTAGACATGTGGGCCACAGAGCTGTAATGTTTGATCTCTATCAGGTTAGACATGTTGGCCACAGAGCTGTGATGTTTGATATCTAACAGGTTGGACATGTTGGCCACAGAGCTATGATGTTTGATCTCTAACAGTTTGGACATGTTGGCCACAGAGCTGTGATGTTTGATCTCTAACAGGTTAGACATGTTGGCCACATAGCTGTGATGTTTGATCTCTAACAGTTTGGACATGTCGGCCGCAAAGTTTGCCACACATTGTGGGGGCAGTAATGGTACCAGGAAGCTCCCTTAACCGGCATTTTTTTGCTGACGTTTTCTAAATATTTGTGGAAATTTTCCTTTTAGTGTTAAATGCTAGGAGACGTTTTTGATAATTTTGTTTTGTTTCCGATGTTAGGACACGTTTATTACGATTTTCTGTCTCTTGGTGTCCAAAATTAGAAAGCTCTTGCAACGTGTCAAAATTTTGTCTTTTTGTGTCAAAACTTAGAATACGTTTTCTACGTGTTTGTGTTACAATGTAACAACGTAATAAGCATATTTAGTCACGGGTCAGGCATGATTTGGTCTTTTGAAACATCCAAATTTTGTCCAATATACTACTGTGACGTTAATTTGCCTTGAGATATGCTGTGGAATTTACGTCAATTTTGCCCTTCTTCTTAATCCAAACAAAATCAGTTCCATACAGATACATATTTTCATATCAAAATAGCCCTTCTGATTGTCAGCTTTCCTAAGTTTCACCATGGTTTTACTTTTATTTGGTTATATTTACATGATATTAAAGAGATCTAAAGAAGGAAGGATAGGCTTTGGTGACTGCAAAGGAAGAATTATTGAGAATGAACAGAAATACGCGTGAGTGTAAAAGGGAGACAGAGGGAGAGACGAAGAAGGAAAGAGAAACGAAAAAGAAGAGAGACGTGGTCTATCACCTAACAAAATCGCTCATGCTGAGATTTCAAGCCTCGCACAAAAACCACTACTCGGGTTTGGGAGTCACGTTGGCTGTCTTGCCCTTCCCCCAGAGCTCGAACGAGTAGTTGTCAAAACCTGAAATAAAAAAAAAAATCCGTGTACAATTAGAGCAACGAACCAAACTGTGTGAGGAACACAGAAATGCTTATTATAAATGTTGGGGTATGGAGTATTTGATCAGTGGAACTGACTTTAAAATCCGTTATTGAATTACGTCATTGAGTAAAAAGACTACACAGCCAAGTCTTTTATTCAGCCGGTGTTTTGGTGACCGTCTGTCACCTTCCTCAGGGCAGTTCTGACTGGTTCACATAGCACTGCAGCACAGGTGTCGCTGCTGTGGATGCATTCTCAAACGTACAATATTTACATATCTACACATATGTGTGATTACAGGGAACTGTATCTACAAAGCGGTCCCAAACGTAAAGGAGTTGGATATGTATACATAATTGTGGTAAGTTATTAAAACAAAAGCAGATACCGAGTCAAGAGTTCGTAAGAAGGATGACGGCTGAGACTATCAATTTAGCAGATACCTAGAACAGATTCCACAATTCCTCGGCCATGTTTGAGATAGTATCTACCTATACAGATTCTGTACAGTGCCTGGATATCTTACCGACACGATCCTCGACCTGCTCCTTGACGTCGCGGCCACGTCTCTTCCTCACCAGGAAGACAGCAACAACCATCAGGAGGACGCCGGCTATCCCCGCAGCTGTCCCGACAGCGATGCCGACAGTGGGCACGGCGGAGGCTGTGGAATGACACAGAGACGTTATATTCGTACTGTATACTGCCATGATGCACCAGTCTGTCTGCTCCCCTGAATGTGCACTAGTGGACAGCATCTGCACAACTGTCTACTCCCCTGACTATACACTAGTGGACAGCATCTGCACAACTGTCTACTCCCCTCCCTGACTATACACTAGTGGACAGCATCTGCACAACTGTTTACTCCCCTGACCATACACTAGTGGACAGCATCTGCACAACTGTTTACTCCCCTGACTATACCCTAGTGGACAGCATCTGCACAACTGTCTACTCCCCTGACTGTACACCAGTTGACAGCATCTGCACAACTGTCTACTCCCCTGACTGTACACTAGTGGACAACATCTGCACAACTGCCTACTCCTCTGACTATACACTGGTGGACAGCATCTGCACAAACTGTCTACTCCCCTGACTATACACTAGTGGACAACATCTGCACAACTGCCTACTCCTCTGACTATACACTGGTGGACAGCATCTGCACAAACTGTCTACTCCCCTGACTATACACTAGTGGACAGCATCTGCACAACTGCCTACTCCTTTGACTGTACACCAGTTGACAGCATCTGCACAACTGTCTACTCCCCTGACTATACACTAGTGGACAGCATCTGCACAACTGTCTACTCCCATGACTATACACTAGTGAACAGCATCTGCACAACTCACTACTGCCCTGACTGTACACCAGTTGACAGCATCTGCACAACTCACTACTGCCCTGACTATACACTAGTGAACAGCATCTGCACAACTCACTACTGCCCTGACTGTACACTAGTGGACAGCATCGATCTGCACATGCAGAACTAAGCCGAAAGGTCTGCCAAAACCTGACAAACTTGCAACAGCTCTTTTTGCACAGAATCGTACAAACATTGTAAGCGTGATAAACACAAGGAAACGCCATAGCTTCAAGAAAAATTTCACCGTGATAAAAGAAAAACTAGATGGACAGGAAGCATTCACAATAGCTTTTCCCTAAGATGAAGTTTTATTGTCGTTTACTAGGAATCATGAGAAAGAAACGTGGTTCTGAACAAGTTGCATAAAACACCGGATTGATATTGATTGACGTCCATGAGAGTTAACTGTCTGGTCTCTTCATAAAACGAACGGTGACCAAGAACACACCAAGAGGCATGGGATGAAGAGGATGGAATACCTTGTTTTTCTCCTCCCACAACTTTGAAGGGTCCCTGGCTGATGGTGACTGTTTCGTCCGTTTCACTCGCACGTCGCACTCGGGCGTCGCTCATGTCAGACACAGCGCGCCTGCGCCGCCTAGCGGGGATGCACCCGTCACTGCACCGCGAGTCCGGGTTGTCCTTGAAGCAGACCACCATGGTGCAGTGGATGTACACCTGACATGGAGGAGAAACAACATCATGAATCTGGTGCACCGCCAGGCTGTTCAAGGTACCCAAACACCAGGGAGTAGCCAAGGATATTCCCGTACAAATGACCTCCAGTCCCAGAGAGCATGAAAGTAGCAACAATGTAAAGACAAATGCAGGCTGAAGCGTGCTCAAAGATGAAGAGACCAAACGCTGGACCTTTGCTCATTCGTAACCCTTTCAGATGCAATTCGCAGGCTAGTCTGCTGGCTTGCCACGTCAGAAGGTAGGATGAAATCTCCGACACACTTAGAGGCTAAGGGTCATCAGAGCCAATAGAGAGGTCTACAACCACCGTGTGCCAGCACCTAACGCCCGCGGATGATTGATTGATCAATCGATTGATTGATTGATTGATTGATTGATTGATTGCATTAAAACAGATGTAAGCAATCCAGAGACTGCCACAACATGTATGCATGCACAGTGTACTGTTTAGGACAAACTTTAGACCTACGATATCATCACCTTATACCATGGAAATCAACTTTAAGCTGACAGTTAGTTAACACAGCCCAGAACCAGCCCAAAGGTTACATGTCTCTCTATTTTACCAGGCTGGGAGGTTCAACGTTGGGGAAGGTGAATGACTGGATGGAGTAGTACAAGGCCATGTCGTTAGACAGTGCATTGTTCAGCTGAAGCGTTGTGTCGATGTGGCACCTATAGGAGAGAAATGACTATGAATGCTACATGTGTTTTTAACTAAAAACCACGTGGGTTAATCCATTGGTTGACCCATACTTTTAACACGTCGTTACTTTGATGCAATGAAGTTCTGTGAAGAGTGACGTACCCTTCTTGAATGATGTTGACGCTTGGAGAGGCTTCGGGATCGTCACTTGGCGTGGCGAGGCAGTGGAGGGCGAACAGCTCCAAGTTGTCCAGAGGAGAGTCCACGCTGAGTCCGAAGTGTAGCTGGTCAGACGGGGTCACCTAACCATGGAGTAATAAGGAACAGAAATAACAGACTCGTTGCTTTGGGAGAGGGACAAGTACAGTGAAGCATCTGGTTATTGTGTTACATGTAGATACATGCATGACAAACAAGATCTATCATGAATAAACAAATAAACAAACATCCCTGTTCAGCTGATTTCTGAACAACATGAGGCACCCAGCCCGGACACAGCGGCAGTTCAGATCACAGTTTGCACATGTTTAAGTTTGATGACGTATAGTTTAATGACAGAATTAGATTCGGCAAGAACGAAGGAAGTACCTCACCTGCACAGGGTAGTCGTCTGAGGTGTAGGTATCGGCAAAGTCTGCAGATGGAAACATGTGCATCTCGAAGGTGAACTGGTTTTCCGCGTTCCTGACTTGCACGCTGTACAGATAGAGAACCATGTGGGTGATTAGACAGATAGCTGATGGGAAATTATTCATTCTATGCCAATGGCACATTCCGATTGAACATAAACATGAGCCCAGAAGTTAGATTCCAATCCATGAATCTGTATTCATAGAAAATCTGGCGCTATATCTTCTATTATCTGTCAAAAGCGCTAGCGATGCTGAGCTTCCTTTGCTCATACTGCAGTATGTATGGTCGTAACAGACCCATCCTGGTCCAGGCGCAGTTGTGCATGTAGTGACATGTCTGACAACACTTACCGAGGAGGCGGAATGTTGAAGAGGATATTCTGATCCTGTGAGACCACGTACTGACGGACGAACTCACACTGGAACTTCTTGCTGAAGGGCGCTCCTCTCATTGCTCCGTTTTCATGCACGACCGGACTGCCGAAGACCTCGTTACTGAAGATGAGTTTCTCTTCTGACGACTATGAAAACAAGGAGAGATACACAGAATCTTACTTAACAAACAGAAAGCCTCTCTTTTAAGCGGCAGTCTACCAGTGTGTAAGTATTTAGTCACATGGACCATTTCGGCACTTTTATATCAACTCATCTATGTAATACTTTTTCCTATGACCGTTCTCCACAGTTCTCTCTATTCTTTTGTATTCTAACATGTAATCACAAGACGTGGTGGGGAAACACAAGTTTTTTTCAAATGCTGACACCAACGCAAGGGACAATACTCATTTTCACCTGATAGAGTGAAGTGAGGAAAGTCGTGTAAAGTGCCTTTCCGAAAGGGCACAAGATTGGTGGCATGTCAGGACTCGAACCCGGGACCTCTTGGTTCCGAGTCGCGCACTCTGCCGTTACGCCACGCGACCCCACAACTGTTCTCTATATTCCAGACGACTACTTACCTCCTGTGTCGTCCCGCACTCCTGCAGACCGGTCCGAAGAGTCACCACCGGGGGATCCGTCTCGCTAATTGTCGAACGGCAGTTCTCGTCCACCAGGTGCAAGCTTTCCACATCTACCTCTGTTAGCGCTGCAACAGGGAAGGTCACGCTCATGTGGTCCTGATGACAGTCCACGTTCACGATAACTTCAGCTGAAAAATGATCCATGCATCTGGGTGAGTATATGATGTCCTTTCCTCCTCCATACACCACCTCTTAGGAGGAAGTTCCACACTGAAAGCTTCTTCCCTAGAACAACATCACTATGGAACAAGCTACCACGTGATTATTTCTCATACAGTATAATTTTAAACTTTTTAAGTCTACTGTTAACAAACAACTGTCCTCACTGGCTGTACAGTAACCCAACACAAATTGAGGGGCTCCCATGAGCCTTGTTTTGTGGTGAATTATGAAGTAAATAAAAAAAATAACAATCACAGTGCGCAGTCAATCCAGTCCTCGGTAGAGGGCCTGCCAAGAGAATTACTATATTCACAATGACCAGTTCTAAGAATCCATGTCAGAAACACAATAAGACGTGTTTTCTGCTGCATGTCATTCCAGGAGGATGGAGGAAGCTGTAGACCTACTAACTACTAAGTGTAAGCCTCTCTACACCCTTGCTGTAACTTACTACATGTTCATGTAAACGTCTCTCCACCCGTACGATCACATCGACTTACCTGTTGTCTCTGTCCCACTGATCTCTCCTATTTGCTCGTCGTCCTCTCCAAACGCAGTCAGGGTGAAGTTGTACTCTGTATCCGCCCACAGTCCGCGTACGATGGCCGTGGTGTCGCCCGGTGCTGGCGGGGGAGACAGGTCCTGGTACGAAGCCCCAGCATGGCGGTAACGGAGTCGGTATCGTGTTATATCCAGGTCAGCAGACGCCGTCCAGGACACGGTCATTCGGTCCATCTCGATATCGGAGAAGGTCAAGTCAGACAAACCTGGAAAGGTAGTGAAAGGTAGATACCTTTTTGGTCACTAAATGTACGCACGCTTGGAACACATTTCAGTCTACTTCTGTGTGAAACAAGCACTGCAAATACTACAGCTTCAAATTTGAAGATTGAAAGAAAAACATTTAAGTTACCAGTTTCACAGGTGGTTCCTCCCCATCCATCCGCACATTCACAGGTGTAGGACTCTCCAGCACTGCTGCACACTCCACCATTCTGGCAAGGGTTCGGGTCGCAGTGGTCTGTTAGAACAGGGATCAGAAACAGTGTGGGAAAAAGTTTTTAATCTGACATTTGCGGTCAAAGAAGTGCATAGGAAAAGAAGTGCATAGGAAAAGAAGTGCAGAGGAAAAGAAGTGAAGAGGAAAAGAAGAAAGTAACTCACCAGTTTCACATGTGGGTCCTCCCCATCCATCCACACACTCACAGGTGTAGGAGTCTCCAGTATTGTTACACACTCCGCCATTCTGGCAAGGGTTGGGGTCGCAGTGGTCTGTGAGAACACAGGTCAGAAATATTGTGCAGAAAACGTTTTAAACAACCCTTAAGAACGCTGCATATCTAGCAGGAGTTTGCTTTCAAATGTTCTACTTAAAATCGATGTACATCAAGATGATCTTACCTGTACAGGTGTTTCCGTCCCCGCTGTAACCGGCGTTACAGGTACAGGTGAACCCTCCAGGAGTGTCGGTACAGGTTGCATGAGTGTGGCAGTCGTGAGTGCCGTCTGCACATTCATCTATAACCTCTGGGGTTACAAACAATACAGATTCCCGTTGCTACAATGTAACTAAACCTATACGTGTTGAACTATATAACTAATCTTGTACAAGAAACAGAATATCTCATGGCTTCGAACAAATTAAAAAGGAAAAAATATCCTATCCGAGAACACAAGTATCCAAAATATAACCTTCTAGGCGAAGGTAAAAACACTTTATCATCACGTTACTGATAAGATTACATTTTAAGGAAACATTTCATGCCTCACATCGACACGGGATCGCATTCACAGAACCTCATCCCACCAATTTAGTAACTTGAAATGAAACAGCTACTCTTGAATTTCACCAACCGAACATAGCTTTTATAAAGTTAGTGTCGGTGTGAAAAACATTAACCTTGGTCACAGTGGATTCCTGCCCAGCCACTCTCACAGGTGCAGGTGTAGTTCCTCAAGTCTCCGACAGCGTCAGCACAGGTTCCGTGTTCACAAGGGGAGGCCACACACGAAGTAGCGACTGGAAATTAAAGATAGCGTTAGAGTTTTGTGCATCAAGGATGAAGATGACAGACGCCTAGCCTCCTTCGCAGTCTTGTTGGGCGTCGGCGTTACTTTTTCTCTGAGTGACGCGAGTAATATGCGGCCGCGAGGGACGATTTGCTGCCGAGGGAGTTCTTGCCACGGGGAGAAGGTCGAAACCTTCTCTCCGTGGCAAAAACTCCCTCGGCAGAAAATCGTCCCTCGCGGCCGCATAAATAACGCCGACGCCAAACAAGACTGCGAAGGAGGCTAACAGACGCCGGCTCATATAAAACAAGCGGTTGTGAATAAAGAACTTTAATTTGCTTATCAATCATTCACCAACCTGATAAAATTTTTCACGGAAATGTTCTTTATGCGTACGCGCGTAAGCAAATGCCAAAAAACTAACATGAAAAGTTTGTTCTTTTGATTGCCAAAATGCCTCTGTCTTGTGCAACGATACGAAGAATGCAGCCTCACCTGCACACAGGGCGTACATGTTTTCGTAGTTCACTCCATTCATGTAGGTCTTGCCAAGGTCGTAGTCATTTCCGAAGGCGCCGATGTTATTAAAATAGTTATGGTGGTACACAAAGGTGTCATCAAGGGCCTCGCAGTGATTACCCCACTCGTAAATGACTCCACAGATTTCTTGTTGGAGGATCCTGAGGGTCTCACACACGCCGACAGGTTGCTTGGAATAAGTGATGCAGCCTGTGGTCCAGTGATAGGTACACCCAGAAGTAGGACCTGTGTAGTAGCACGGGTATCTCATTCCCACAGCCTCGCATGCAGTTTTCACGTTTGCGTTGGTCATGGTTCCGATTGCACGAACCTTGTAAAAGGCCCAGTTGTTGTATGTGTGCAGGTACACGTCTGGGGCTGGAAAGAGTGAAAAAAAAATGGTTATCACAAGATAATACTTTTGATCGTCGGTCCCGTCTCAAATAATCTCGTAGAGATTCCAACCGTGGCCAGGTACCAACTTTAACCGTGAAGATGATAGATTTTCTGTTAAATCACTTCAATATATCTTATACGGATCACCATAGAAATACTTACGTTCGTCACAGTTGCGTCCTCCCCAGCGGTTCTCACAGGTACAGATGTAGCCTTCGTCACCATCAGTACAGGTTCCATGTTCACTGCATGGGGACGCCTCACATGTTACTGGAAATAAGATCGAAAATTTCATGGCTTCGACCTTGAGAGGTAGGAAAAATACCCTATCCGAACACTCAAATGCCCCAAAACATAACCTTCTTGGCGAAAGTAAAACAAAACCAACTTTATAATCAAGTTATTGGTAAGGCTGCATTTTACGGAGACGTTTCATATGTAACATCCGTATGGGGTCATATTCACTGTCGCAGATCCCAGCATTAAAAATGAAATCTCTTCTCTTGAATGTCTCCAGCTGAAAAAAAGCTTTTTGTTTCAACATAACAAATACTAACTTTGGTCACAGTTGGATCCTCCCCAGCCGCTCTCACAGGTACAGTTGTAGTTCACCGACCCTCCCACAACATCAGTACAGTTTCCATGCAAACACGGGGAGGCCTCACACGAAGGAGCGACTGGAAATGGAAGATAACGTTACAGCTTTGTCAAGGTTGTTCAAACCTCAAAGAATACAGGAAATATCGTAGAAACTGCAAATGTGGTTAGTAATGTGCTGCACGTGGGTCATTCTATCTCGTCCCACGAACTTCTCAAACTTCATATAGACTGGCTGCTGGCAGACAGTGAAGGAAATCATATACAGTCAAGGGTTTAAATACTTATGACAATGGAAAAATAGTCTAATCTAACATAAAACTTTTCTTCTTTCGATTGCCAAACTGCCTGTGTCGTAAGGATATCAAGGCTGCATCCTCACCTGCACACAGGGCGTACTTGTTGCTGTAGTCCGCTCCATACAGGCCGCGTTGGTTAGTGTCGTAGTTTATTCCCCAAGAGCTGTCACGAGAGTCAAGACCATAGATGTACACAAAGATGTCATCAAGGGGCTGGCAGTATTCAGGGTCAACATTTCCACACAGAAAACTAGTGAGGTACCAGATGATACGGCAGTCGATACTGGTATCGTCGTACGTGGGGCAGCCTAAGGTCCACCAGCGGGTACACTGTACACCCGAGTGCCAGCACGAATATCTCATCCCGGCATCCAGGCAGGTGGTCCTGATGTTGGTATTAGACATCTTGCCTACCACAGGAACCTTATAAAATTCCCAGTGGACTGCAGTGGTCAGGTACACCGGTTGTTCTGAAAAGAGTAAAAAAAAATGTCATCAGCTGTTCATGATTTTGGTCATCAGTTCCGTCGAACGGATCTTGTGAAAATCCCAACCTGGCAACCATCCGATGGCGTCAGGTACGCGCTTTGACCTGAGGATGCCAGATTTAAAAAATAATTGAAATGTATTTTATGGATCGCCATAGAAATTAATTCAGTAACGCTATTTGATTACTAACATTCAAGTACCACACAATAATCGCATTCACTCTCTGATTACCACATGATCCTACTTAGAAACCAGTGTGGGAGGAAAGGCACACCTCGCGCACTGGTATTTTACCTATCAATATTGAAGCTGGACGGTACCAGGGAATTCCTGAGGAAAATAGAATCTGTATCATGTGTGACCTGGATGAAGTAGAAAACGAAACACATTTTCTTTTTTTACTAACCCTTTTATGACGATCTTCGAGAAAATACGTTTCGTAAAATTTATACAAAATCACCTGACATTATATGGGAAAGAGATGAAAATAGAATTAAGTGGCTCTTTAACGAGGGTGTATCTGACCTAGCAACTTTCATTTATCGAGCGTGGGGGAAAAGAAGAAAACACCTGTATTCATAACACATCTACAGTTTTCACTTTTTGTTTCTTCTGCCAATTTGTTTTCTCTTATTATATTTGATTTATCTTATGTACTTGTATTTATTTTGTGAGATCTTGGTTCATTATGTACAGATTTGTTTATTTGCATTTACGATCCGTTATGAGTTCACTTCGTTCACCATTATTGTACATAGCCTACCTTTATTTGTGTTCATATTTTGTTTGGATTCTGTTATCTGTACCTGTGATTCTCATTTGTTTATGTATTATTTATACTCAAACGGTGTCGTATAAGCTAAAAAAAAGCCCACACGGGCTGGGCGCGGGAAAGCGCACGACACGAAAATAAAGTCTCATTCATTCATTCATTCATTCATTCATACAGTGCAAAACTGATGTGCAGTGCCTAAAGGCAGTGTACGAGTTGTGTGAAGCAAACAAGATGCTAACATTACTTTTCTTAGGAAAAATTTAAGGAATTAATAAAAATTGCATTGCGTTGTGAAATCAAAACCACAGCATACCTAAGACCGAAATACATGGAAAACTGCTATAATAATGATATAATTTCCTGTTTAGTCCTATTCTACATAATTTTCACCTTATTGTTCATCTCTGCCTAAACTACCTACATGCCCAAAATCCATATGGAATCGTCTACCCAGTTCATTTACAGGGTCGAGAACCTTATAGTGGAGCAGATAACATTCCGGGCTTTGTATCTCCTGGTCTAAACATGCTACAGTCATGATTTTTATGTGGTAGAAAGCTGTTAAAGTAAGAAAGAAGTGACGTAAATTTGGTGCCTCTAGCAGCTTGCGTTGGAACTGCAAGGGCGTTTTTTTGCGCAAATTGTGCACCGGCAAAAAACGCCCCTGCAGTTCCAACGCAAGCTGCTAGAGACACCAAATTTGCAGTACCAAAAGGCGCCAAAAGTCAAATCAAGTGGCCCGCGTACGTTTTCAAAAGAGTAATGTCTCATGAATATTTGTACCAAGTTTGGTGCTTGTATCACAATTTGAAAGATTATTTCAGTTATCTGCCCCACTTTTAAAGAAAAAACCCTACCTTGACCAGTCACGCAGGTGGCCATAACCCCGAGGACGAGTAGTCCCATGGGTACCGACACACGCGGGTCCATCCTGTCTCCAGATGTCCGGTAGGTCACCTGGAATAAAAGAACTGAAAATGAAACATTGGTCTGTTTTACCTGGATCCTACCAGTTTACCCACGAGCATGTTGCAGGGTTAGCAACAGACGATGATGTCCATGCATGCGCGCGTATGTCCATGTGTGTGTGCGCGTGCGTGTGCGTACGGGCATGTGTGTGTGCGCGCGCGTGTGTGTGTGTATGTGCTGGCATGTGTGTGTGTGTGCGTACGCGCGCGCGCGCGCGCGTGTGTGTGTGTGTGTGTGTGAGCATGCGTGCGTTTGTGTATGTGTGCATGTGCATGTGTGCGCGTTTGTGTATGTGCGCGTGTGTGTGTGCATGTGCGTGCGTGCGTGTCTATGTATGCGTGTGTTTGTTTGCATGCATGTGTTTGCTTGATCGCATATTCGTTTGTGTGTGTCTTTGCGTGATTGTGTGTGTATTTGTGTGTGTGTATTTGTGTGTGTGTGTTTGTGTGTGTGTGTGTGTGTGTGTGTGTGTGTGTGTGTGTGTGTGTGTGTGTGTGTGTGTGTGGTAGTTCCCGTAAATGCCGCCAGGGGCGCTCTGGTCTTATTTATGAACATAAAAAATTGACGCGACCTCACCGGCCGAAGGGGACAGCCTACCAATTCCAAGCCCCATTAGGCATAAACATACCAGAAATAAGCCGCCAAAAACTACCTACCTGAGTATTCAACTATGGAAAAGTCACATTGACAGGGTAGTCCAACATCCAAATTGTCCATTTAGTCAAAAAATTTCACTTTCTGACGAGCGATACATAGTACGAAAAATCAAAACAATGACAGAATGACCTCTGACCCCTATGGAGAGCACTAAAACACAAGATGGGATTTGTTTTAGAGCTCTAACTAGCAACCAAAACAAGACTAGAAGCCAGTTTTTGTCAACAAAACAAAAAGAGAAATTACCCTCCAGCTGGAAAATACCAGCATTTATTAACACATACAAAAAAAAGGATGTTTTCAGTGGGTTTGGATGCGATTATGAAATAGACTTGCATTGTAAACACACC